CAACGATTCGGTCGAGCGCAACACGTGGCCACTTGCTGACCGATCCCCGCGCCTTTTGCTCAGCCCATTTCGTTTTCGGGCGTAGCTGGGGTGCACTTAGTGATTCGTTTGTTTTGTTCGATGTTTCAAACAAACGTTTCAAACACGTTTCAAACAAGCCATCTTTTTTCGTTTGTTTCATTCAAGAGAACTTGACTTTTGTATGAGGACTTCGAATAAAAAAGGAAAAAATAATTCTTCGCTGTTTGGTTCGTAAAGTACTTGCTTTTTGTATGTGAATTAAGCAATTCCACTGACTGCCAATAATAATTTTCGATTCCAAAGGCCCGCGATCATGCCCAAGGCGGCGGACCCAGTCGTCATACCACGGACCATTTCTTCGTCGACTCACGCACCAAGCCGCATCTACTGTGGGCCATGATGGATGACTCGTGCCTCTCCAACTTAGCACCGCTGCTTGTCCAGGTCCATGCGATGCCAACGGGTGCGGTCAGTGGCGAGCGCAACCACAAGACGACCAAGCGGGTCGCCTCGCAAAAGTGCTCCCGCATCGGCTTTTGCAATGCCCAGCGTCAAGTCGCCATCGCCTTTAATGGCAAGCAGCTCGCACGCGTCCACAGCACAAGTAGAGAAAGCAAATATATCGACCATCTTGTGCGTCTCGGGGCGGTGCGTATTGCACCTGCCACCGAGGTAGAACTAGACCAAGGCCCAGATGATGAAGATGACACAGAGGAGAACTTTCCGTTCGTCGAGGACAGTACAGTGTAGCAGATGTCGAGGAGTTCCCTTTAGAAGTGGATTGGGCCACTGAAGATTTCTAGAGTGCCACGTAATGAAACAAATTTGCCCGTTTTAAACCCGTTTTAAACTCGTTTTAAACAATGAAACAAACGTTTTTATCCTTGAGCCGTTTGAAACGAATCACTATAGATGCATCTCTTATATACCCTTGGTTCACTACGACATATCTAGGGATCCAGATGCATCCAACTTTGCACACTAGCTGCAAGTTCAGGCAGTTGTTGCGCACGTGGCCGT